CATGACGATGATCTGGCCGGCGGGGGATGAGCTTGCCTCCACCGTAAGGCGGAGCGGAAGATGCTGGGGCACGCCAGACGGTGTGACATCGCCATTGAGGGACTGGGTCAGGCGGGTGACGAATTTGTTGCGCTGACCGGGGCTCAGCGCGGTAGGCGGGCTCGAGGTGAGAACAAAGTTGCGGTCGAGGTCGACGACCAGAGCGTCCGTGGGCGCCGTGAAAAAGCGACCTGCATTCGGCAGTGATGCCCAGGATATAGGGGCCCGGTTCCTGAACGAGCTCCTTGGCGTGACGGGCGTGAACGACGGGGACATAGAGACCGCTCCACTCGTAGACACGGACGCAGTAGCGGACCGTCTCGGCGGCCATGGTCAGCATGGCCGGGTAATGGCTCACAAAGATGATGCGGCGGGTGGGGGAGATGGCGGCCTCAATGACGCCAACAATGTTGGGAATCGAGAGACAGCAGAACAGGGGCCACATGGCGAAGTTCTGGAAGCCGGTGGGAGACGAGGGGAACTGGTAGCACAGGGCGTAGTCCTTCATGTCGATGCGGACGAGGTCGTTGAGCCTTGGGGCGGGGAAGCTGAGAATGCGGGAGACCTCCTCGGCGTGGAACAGGTTGGTGGCCTTGTTCCAATGAATCCACATGCCCCGAAGATAGTCGCCCAACAGATTGTACAGCGGGTAGCGGGAGAGGAAGGACAGGCAGTAGGGGATCCAGTACGTCTCGTCGGGGTTGTCGTAGAAGTCGGACTCGGTCCTCTTCCGCAGGTCACGAATGGTCTCGGCCCTCTTCTCGTCGGCGCGGGACCACACGCGGAGACTGATGCCGTAGAGGGTGTGGGACGAGTCCTGCTGCAGAACGAACGCGTGGTGGACGCAGTGAGGCTGGCTGCGGCCAGTGCAAATCTCAACGTCGTGAGGGAAGCACGCCTGGGACGGGAGAGGTTAGCACAACGTTGCCGCCACAGAAGGGGGGGACGGCCAAGCAGGTCCAACTCACCCGCATAGCAGCGTGCAGGGCCCTGGCAATCTCGTTGTCTTGCTCCAGCCTGGGACTGCTGCCGAGAATCTCAGGGAGCCAGAATTGGCCGACGGCACCCTTCATGTGGCCGATTTTGCCCTGAGCGGGCGCAGGTGCCTTGACCCATTGCGAGGGCTCTCGGCCGACACCGCAGACCATGTAGGCATGGGTCAGTGTCTTGGGGGGTGCGCTGCTGGGTCTTGACGTTGAGGGTGGAGGGAATCGGCTGGGATGATGCGAGAGTGAAGAGAAGAGGTACGGCTGGGGATGATGAGGTTGTTGTCGCCCTGTCCGGGTGGTGGGACGGCCCTCGCGATCCCCGGTGCGAGGGCGCGTGAAGGACGAGTGAGCATGCAGAGAGGGCGCCATTGCGCGTGATGGATACCTCTGGTTCTGTTGCTGTAGGCAGCGTGGGTGTTTGGGGCGAGTGGATAGAGGAAGCTCCTAAATCTTGCAACGAAGCAGAGCAGGCGAAGAAGCTCTGGAGCTCTGGAGCTGTGCGGAAGTCTGAAAAGCTTGCAGGAGCTCGAGCTGTTTTAGTTGTCCATTCGAAGGTCTGCACAGCAGCGGGTGATGCGAGGTTCTGGGCGTTCGGTTCGTCGCGTCTCTTGTCGTCTCGTCCGGTCTTGTCGTTTCGTCTCTTCTACTTGACGAGTGCTCGTGGACAGTCCGCAACAGACTGGCTGTTTGGTGACGGCTGGTGCGGGGGGGGAGGAAGGGCAAGAGAGTGAAAAGGAAAGACGCTGGCTAAGAGGAACAAGAGCCACAGAGGGTTTGGGAACGGGCGCCCAGAAAGGGGGAAGGCGACTCCCAAAAAGAGGCGATTGGGGGGAGTGGGCGGTCCGTGTGGATGGATGGAATGGGTGGAATGAATGGATGGGGCGGCCAGGGGTGGGGGATGAGCATTCGAGCTCTGCTCGAAGATCGTTGCAGCGAGAGAGGAGAGACGGGTAACGACTCGTGGTTCAACAGACGAACAGACAGACAGCCAGAGCCAGCCAGAGAGCCGTGGCGGATTTGGGGGGGACGAGCAGTCGGAGAAGCAAGCTCAATCCATCGTGATGCCCAATACTTTTCAGGGGGCCAAGTGGGAAGGGGCCCATCGTCGGCCGCCTTCCTGTCCCCAGGAGGTCTGATACCACGCTAAAGCACTGTGCATGGCCTGTGCATTGTGCGGCGGAGATCTGATACGAACACGGTGTGATGCCGTCAATGATCAGTGTCGAGACACCGTGTGAAGTGCCCATCGTCGGACGCGACCCGTATGAGGACCCCTGCCTCAGGAACGAACAGGGCTAGCGATTAGCACTCCGGCGTTGGCGCACCGGGGGGGCCTGGCGGGTGAGCTTGGGGCCCTCGGGGCACTTGGGGCGTGCTGAAGCACTGAATCCTCGAAGCCGTCGCCGGGCTGGCACCGTGGGCTCCAATGCCACCACGCACACTCTGTGTGTCCCCTTGTCCCCCCTCGCCGGGCCCCTGGTCCCTTCAAGATTTGGCTCCACGCCTGCCAGCTTAAACGAACCAATGACGGGCCGGCGGACCTGGTGGGAAATTGTCTCTCCCTTTTTCGTGTCGCGACTGCGACGCTGTCATCGCTCAATTTCTCGAACCCTGGCTCTCTCGTTTCCGACCTTGCGTTGCGACGAATGCTGCTGCTGTTCGTTTGCGTCGGTTTCTTGCCTTTGTGCTCCCTTGCAACCTTTTCGTGCAACAGACAAAGGATCGCCCTGCCGTGTTTGTTGTTGTGGTTGAGCATAGGGAACGCCGCAGCGCTCTGCTCCTGCTCCTGCCGCCTTCCCACCACCGTCCCCCCTCACCTTGAGGATCCATCCAGTCCGTGACTTTGACCGCTTCCCTCAGTCACTTGTCAGTTCGACCTGTCGTGCATGCTCTTTTCTTTTTTAGCGTCTCAAGGCCAGACCAGGCCACACGTGTCATGGCAAGGCACAAAGCCCCGGCACCAGCCGGTCTTTGTTGGTGGTGCAACTGATGAAACATAGCGATACTGCCTTACAGCTAGTGCTGTACCATGTACGCCACTCTTTGGGGGGAGGGGGTGTGTTATGCACATCTGGCGTCGAAAACATCCGTTTCTTACTCAGTTCCTTCCCGTCAACGCGACTGCTGTACAGTCGAACAAACGAACAGGCAAATAGATGGGGCCAAGATGCTTGACTGACTGACTGAGTGGCGGGCTGGCCCCTGACGCCAGACGCCATCGGTCGGCGATATTTTGTCCAGCCGACTCCCGGGGTCGTCCTCTCGGAGTGCAGGAAACGAACATGACGACCTACATGTACACTTGCACTAGCAGCGGGGCCTCGCCTCAAATCCAACTAAGCATCTGGCGATGCCCGTCTGCAGCGTGCAGAAATAGCCCGAGCTTGCGCTTTCCATGTCAGGATGACTTGCGCTCACAAGGTGCTTCCATGTTGTGCACAAGCCCCCTCCTCCCCCTCGCTCCACGCCCATGCCTCCTGCACGCTCGGACCCGTGCTCAGGCGATTTGCCAGCTTTTTCTCTCTCTCTCTCTCTCTATCTCTCTCTCTCCTCGTGTCTGTCTCTGTCACCTTGTACGGAGTGGGGGAAAGGCTCTCACTCGCAGCATCATGCCCCGCTCTACGTAATGCTGCGCTCCTGTTGACGTCCGTCGGGTAGCCTAGGCTGCTCGGCTGGCGACATATATGTAGGGAGACAGTGGGAGAGAGAAAGGGGTATTGTTGCTCCGATGGACACAGGAACGCTGCATGTTTGCCCAGCACATACATATACATATGCATCTACATATGTGTTTCGGGCTCAATGCATGCACCTGGATCGATGCGAGCCATGATGCCCGCCGATGCCGCTCCCAAGCACCTGGCACCCCTTGGCTTTTGACCACGCGGAACGGCGTTTGGCCAGAGGGTCCGTTGTCGCAGGCGGCGGGGTTTGTCGAGGTAGCTCTTGCCTCGCGGGCAGGCGGGGTTTTGGCCTGTTCGCTGGCAGCCATCTCCCGGTTTGACCAGCAGCGACGGCGTCGGAGGCAAAACATGGCAGATGGCGCGTCACGTTAGTTGTAGATCCTGCACCACAAATGATCGACATGCCCTGGCGTTGGCGTGGTTGTGGTCTTGTCGAAGCTAGAAGAAAGAAAAAAAAAAGCGATTGGCAGTGGCAAGAGACGCCAGAGCTGTCGCTGCTGATCGATGTGTCGAGGCCACGCTGCGGTAGGGCACACAATGCGAAGCTGAAGACTATGCATTGTCCCTCCGCGTCGTACACCTCGGAGTCAGCAATAGCGTCTCCTATGCTATACTCTTCGATGGAAACGCAGAGCCGATCTGTTGGGAGAACTGCGGCGGAGCCAGGGTTTACTGAGTCCAAGATCAACGTGCTCTCTCCAACATTACCAACCTCAGGGTGCCCTTTCTCCATTAATTTCTCCGGGCTGATCCTAGGGTTATTGCCACGTCAGCGTCGTTCTGGATGACTTCGAGTCGGCTTTGTCGATAACTTTGCCTTCATGTCGTCTCATACGCGACCCATAGATGTCGCAGCCGCCCACTCGACTACTCGTTCTGCTCGTAGATGCAACGAAGAAGCACTAGAAACGAGAAAGGTCGAGAAAGAAATAAAATGGCATCGCAGAACGTCCGCTGGATGATTATCAAACCCCGCTCTGTGCCTCCTTCTGAAGGCGCAAGTGTATGTGGTTGACGGTGGTCCATTTTTATAAATATCACTTACCGTCAAAGCCACTCTGAAGACCATACGGTACGGTGCGGGAGTACCAAAATACCCTTGCAAACGGGGAAACGGCACAAATCTGGATACTAGATATGCGGTTCTACTGGATGATATACACGACCTCTTCAGGAGGTATATTGACAGGCAGATACTCAGCTTGTTTTGACTTTCATAAGCATCACAGCAAAAGCAACGACATGACAGGGATGTATTGCGCATCGGGAGACAACGGGATGGCCACCGTTGTGTTGGGAGAACACATGTGCTTTAAAAGAGTCAACTCTATCATGATTCTGGGCGGTAGGGGTGCACGAGTTCTTGGAGCAGAGGCCATTTGAACCGAACATGGAAATGATTATGCAGAAGCGCTTCGGTGCTCTGAACCAGTCTAACAATCGATGCCCTCGGCGAGTCGTCATCCGCCAACACATTCCAATGTTGTTGCTCCTGGGCCAGGTCATAGCTCACGCTTGCGTGAAGGCAACGAGCCTTCCTTTGCTCTCGACATAGAAAACAGCCCTGAGTCTGACTTCACACCGTTCACGAGCGAATTGTCCCAGTGGCCGGCCATCATGCATCGCACAGTATATTCTGGCGGACACAGGCATACGATGTCTCGCGCATGTCAGGTGACATGTCATTCTGTCACAGTGACCAACCACGTGTCTGCACAGGTCTGCAACGGTTCACAAGCTGCCTCGACCGGGTGGCCCATCAGCTTGAAGTGTTGTTTGGTCTGAGGGTTTTGCCAGCAACTGGGGCAATGTTTGCACAGGCGTTACCAGAAGATTGCGTAGTTGTGTGCTCGCTCGTGAACCACTTCTTTGCGGTATTGAGGTAGGTCCCTTTTGCAGTGCAGTCTAGACCGGCTCTGATCGTCATTAGTGGCCGAGGCTACTTCAAGGCTCACTTGATAATCCGGACTCCAGGCAGGCCAGGCGCACCATTACACCATTGGATGACGAACATCGGTTGATGACTGTACTCGCAAATAACGGCAAGCAGATGGTCCGTTCATGTTTGACCATGGTAAATTGAATACCGGATGAAAGTTTTACTCCCTGGTGCATAAGGAGCGCTGGCCAAGGCGTAGGACCGCAGTTGGAGTGCTAGATATCGACGAGGACAAACCCACGGGAGCAAGAACTGGTCGAAAAGCACATCGCCACTTTGACTCCATCAGATGAGTATCTATCAGGTTGGCGGAGAGTTTTCCCGCAGCGGCGATCGTGGCGTCACTGGCTAAGGAACGGAAGGCTAGGTTAGTACTCGGAAGACAGTGTGGATTGACTACCGAGCCAGTGGGCAGCGGACTTCGCTCGTGGTGTATTCGGAGCGCGCGACTGAGAGGGCTTATGAACGAGAAATGAGAGAGCAGCCATTCTGTATACGCATCCTAGTTGATCGGCTCCGATGTTCCAGCTCCCGCGATCCGGCATATGGGACGTGAAGACACCTTTCGCGTGAGCCTTCGGTCGCATTTCGGGCTAGGTCGAAGACTCGATAGCAGAGCAGTCGACGGCGACAGTAATTGCAAGGAAAGAGTGCATGATCCAAGCGTCACCGCGAGGAGATCAGCTGGAGGGCATTGCTTCATCTTGTGTGCATTCTCTCCGGTATGAGAAAGCGACTAAATCCGAATGTTCATCCAATGTTTGGCGAACTGGTATCGCGGGGGTTGGCGCGTGGAGGCGTCGCGGGGAATGTTGCTTTTTGGGGAGAAGCAAGTTTCATTAAGACCAGCTCTGAGAACGCCTGCCTGCAGGATTATGTTCTCATGTCATGGCGCTGTGTTCGGACTCTTCCATTCTTTCGTTCGCAGCCACTCCCGTAGATATCCGATCTTGGTGGTGTGGTTGCTGCAGCCGGGGCTCCTCTCGAAATGCTGGGTCAACCAACCGGGAGGACTCGAGGAGACTTCATATGTGCGGTAATATCTGTCGTCATTGCGGTGATGTGACGCCGGTGGGTGGAACAATTGGCTTGTTCTGAAGAGGAGGGTCGAACAGGATATTCGATTGAGACGCAGCGAAGCGGTTGAGTCGAATGGCTGGCTGGCTGATGACGCTGAGCTCAACGGTTTTCCGGGGAGGCGATGGTAAGTTGAGGAGGGGCTTGGGGTGACTTCCTTGAGCTGCAGAGAGAACACTAACACTCTGCGTTGTGTTGGTGGGTGGGGTTGCCCGCCCGGACTGCCTCCATCAAATCTCTTTGGATCAAGTCCTGACTGGTGTGGTGCCTCGAAGCATTGCAAAGATGCCTGGCTTCAAGACACGAGGATTCCCGAATCACAGCCACGCCGACACGCCGGCGGTATGTGCCTTTGATGTGTCGTGTCTCAGCAGTGGTGTATTGGCTGAGCTGATTCAAAGGCGGAGGGGCAATTGGGTCCTCCCTGGGGCTTTCCTCACTGACATGTGATTGTGATGCGTGCCCCACGGTGAGGGTGACGCAAAAAGTGCATTGTTCAGGAATCAGAAGCAATCCATCTGTGACGCATGCCCACGTTCATGGTCTGCTTGCAAGTTGGCCCAGGGTCGTCTCTCGCGAGCTCCGCTTTCCTGGCCACTCGCCTCGCATCCGCCTCGGAGCCGAGAAAAGAAAACATCACAATAGATAGATTTCAATCACTCGTGATAGACATCTGACAGAGGACAAACCGCGGGATTTGACATACCGACCGAGGCGCTCTGAGGTATGAGGCTCGTCACGAAATGGGTATTGAGGGGCCCAAGGGGGGAAACAACGCTGCTGCCAAGCACGGTCTGGCCGGGCGGGCTGGCAGGCAATAGGCTTTATCGATGGCGAAGATGCTCCCGACTGGAGAGCAGGTAAGCTATGGTGGGTAGGAACAGCTTTCACATGTCAGACGAGCAGGGATCAAGCTGCAAGCCCAGGAAGAAAAAACCCACCGCGAAAAAGCTCCTAGGCGCGCATCTCATGCAACCACTCAGAGCCACGCCACGCATGTCTCTGAGGCGCAAAGATAGGGCGATTTCCATGTCAGTGCTGCGTCTTGAATTTTGACTGGTGCATTCTGTGATACGAGGTCCCTGTCACCCTCCAAACCTCGATGCGCCAGCGCCAGTTCTCCTTCGGCATCCCGCTATTGAGGTGTGCGGCGACAGGGGAGGGGAGAGAAGAGCCCCCTCCCGAGGGCACCCCACCACCAACCTCTATCACGACATGCACCCTGCCTTGACCCCCAAAACCCAAGACATCTGCGCCGGACAAGACTATCACGGGCAACCCAGGATGCACATTCCTGCTCTGCAAACCCCCGTCCCCCTGCTCGACAGCCCGGCATGCCATGGCAGCCCGGCCGACAAGCCGATCGATCCGATGTCTTAGCAAGAACGCAAAGCATATGCTTTTTCGCTCCCCCTGTTTGCAAGCGAGGAACATAGAATGGCCACCCTGGGCACAAGCACGAGCAAAAGTGACATGCTATCTATCGATCTACTGATGAACGAGGCGAAAAGTCCCCGCCGCGACCCAAAGTGTCTCATGTACCTTACCTTGCCTGATCCGACCTTACCTTTGACACGACCCGGTGTGGCGCTGGCGCCGGCGCTGGGCCTGCATTGCATTGCTTGGAAGCTTGGGGCCGACCTGGCCCTCGCCTCCGGTCTCATGTGCGTGCTGCTTGCTGTCTACGGCTTCGACCTTCATATCACTGTACATCCTCGCTCATCATCGCTCGTCATCCCTCCTCCCTTCCTCCTTCCTTCCTCCCCTCTATCTCTTCTGCTGCGACTTGCCCCTCCACCCAGCCTGCTTTAAGCTTCGACCGGCGCCTCTGCCCATCAGGACTCCTCCTGTTCTGCACTCCAAGCTCTTCCCTCGCATCTTTCTTGCTCGCACCTCTCCCTACACCCACCCACCCATTTACCTGTACACGTTTGAAAACGCCCAGTACCTTGACGCACTTTGCCCTACCTTATCCCACGAGCTCCTGAATTTACCCTTGGAGCCACACCTGTCGTCGCTTCGTAGGAGTACCTCGACTCTGACTCGACCCCGATAGCGCAATGGCTCAAGTGAATGGCGACGTGTCGAGCTCGGCTCCCAGCTCGGCATTTGTTCAGGTATGCAGTCTACGTTGCATGTAGCATTGTCACGGTTATGTATACTGACAGTATGACTCCAGCACCTCCTCGACTACCCCGTCGTCCACGACGGTGTCACCAGCTTTAAGCAGAACCCCTACGGCCAGAAGTCTCTCCAGCTCAGCGACTCTGCCTACAAGACCTTTGCCCAGCCCTTCATTCCCTACCTCGCCGGCCCTTTCGAGTTCGTGCGACCTTATCTCCAGAAGGCCGACACCTTCGGCGACCAGGCTCTGTCCAAGGTTGACCAGCAGGTCCCCTTCGTCAAGAAGCCTACAAACGAGCTGTACGCCGGCGCCAAGGGCATCATCGCTCTTCCTTTCAAGACGGGCGTCGAGACCAAGGACCACGTGATCAAGACCTACTCGGCTGAGTACAAGAAACTCGGCAATGGCAATGACAACGTTATCACATACGGCAAGGCCTTGGTCAGCACAGCCTTCATCTCTAGCAGCGAGTTCTTGACGTGGGCCAACAACGTTCTGCACTACAAGAAGGAGGAGGCCAAGGAGGCCATCAACGAGAAGGCAAACAACTAGGCGGCATGTGCATTTGGCGCCGTCTTTTCATTTTCCCTTTCCCACCTTGTTCACTGCGAAACGGACCTGCCGAGGTCATGATATCCAGGCGTTCCCTTGATCATTTGTTCTGCGTGCTGGCTGGTCGAGGGCGCAGGGTCTTGGATATCCGAATCCGCCCGTGAAAGGTGGTGTCTTCCCCCGTTGCGTCCCGGACAGTGCACGCGGCCCTGCCCATCGTTTCTCGGCCTCAGAGTTGCTCTTTCGCTAAATACGACTACCCGGAGCATCTTGCTTCACTCAGCTGTCATCTCTGCAATGATGTGGATGAAGCTGGAATAGATGGCGAGACAGCTGTTGGCGGCTTGCTTGGCTGTGTGACTAGGTACGGCGCTCAAAATCAGCGACGATGGCAGGGTCAGTTTCATACCGCACCAATAGATTCCCAATTATTTATCATTTCCCAGTATAATTAAATACCAGAAGAGACAAAGACTGCCTATGCCCATTGTCGAGCTCAACCGAACACACGTATGGTGCCAAAAGATGATACGGGAATGACCTCAACAGTTCCACCGGCGGTTGGTGTTGGCCTGGCGTTGTCCACTGGATTGGTTGCCAATCAGTATGTCAGCGAATCATCCAGTGGGAGGTGCGGGTGGGGCCGACAATCTGGGCAGCTCCAAAGGTATTGCTGGCTGAGCTGATTGCCCCTCTCAGCAGCGAGGGGCAATCAACTCAGCAGCGGCGCTGATGTAAAGCTTGACTAAGGGGGGGGCTTGATGTGCTTAGAAGAGGCTGCCATAATCATCACGGCATGGCGATTCGCCTGATTCGAGATACCGGATCCAGCCTTTCCAAGGCCGACGACAAGGGGCCATAAAGGCATTGACGTTGAGCAATCCATCTTTCATCATTTGTCAATTGCTCGCAGTCTCTTCCAAGACCTTCTTCTCCCGACCTCACCTCTCCCACCCGATTTCGCGACGACAACTACATAAGTCCTTCGTCGCCGTTGCATTTCAGATGAAGGTATTCGCTTTCTGGACCACGATCACAGTCGGCATCCTATCGACACTTTTCTGTTATCAACCGCAAATTCAGAACCTCGCTTTGAACACCGCTCAAACAACGCTGAGCTTCGTGAACACCAAGCTAAAGATATCTTCATTGTCGTCGCCAACACAACCCGACCATCACCTCTACGCCACAGAAATGTCGGTCCCACGCGCCATTCGCAAAATCTTCCTCGCGGTTGAGCAGGCCGAGGGTGCCGGGGCCCGCGTACGCCGCTCCATTGGCACGCCCCAGCTGCGCAATCTCTCACCTTTCCTTATGCTTGACCACTTCTCCATTAAGCCCGGTGCCGGCTTCCCCGACCATCCCCATCGCGGCCAGGAGACCATCACGTACCTCCTCCAGGGCGGCGTCGACCATGAGGACTTTGCCGGGAACGCCGGCACCATCGAGGCTGGAGATTTGCAGTTCATGACGGCCGGAAAAGGCATCATGCACGCCGAGATGCCTAAGCAGAACCCCGACGGCAGCGCCAACGTCGGCCTCCAGCTGTGGGTCGATCTGCCGCAGAAGCTGAAGGCGTGTGAGCCCCGCTACCGTGACCTCAAGGCGAAGGAGATCCCCTCGGTTGACGTCGACGGCGGCAAGGCGCACATCAAGGTCATCTCGGGCCAAAGCCACGGCGTCGACTCGGTCCGCGACCTCGCCTACACGCCCGTCTGGATCCTGGACCTGCAGGTCAAGCCCGGCGGCAAGGTCGCACAGCCGCTGCCTGCCAACTGGAACGCGTTCGCCTACGTTCTCGAGGGCCAGGCCCTATTCGGCGCCGGCGACCAGCAGCGTCCCGTCGAGCAGTATCACAACGTGGTGCTCGAGCAGGAGGGCGACGTCGTCAATATCGAGGTTGATGCAGGTGCTGACAAGGACGCGCGCGTCGTGCTCATTGCCGGCACACCTCTCGATCAGCCGGTCGTGCAGTACGGGCCGTTTGTCCTGAGCTCCAAGGAGGAGGTCTACCAGGCGCTGCAGGATTACCAGACACACTCGAATGGGTTCGAGAGGGCCGAGGGGTGGCAGAGCGAGATTGGAAAGTCCATGATCCACTGATCTGTAACAACCCGATGTATTCATGAGCAACACGGCATTTGGCATGGAGTATGGGGTCATCAGTTGTATTTAAAAAGTTGAGATTTTATGAGGAAAAACACCTATCCTCATGTCATGAAGAGAAAGCAAGACATATATCTGCCTGCATGCTGCGATTCTAGGGAGTGTTTCGAGTCTGCTACGAACATTTAGTGATGCCTGGGCATTTGCGCATGACGAGCGCCGAAAGGACGGTAGATAATTGAATATTGATGCAATCAAGAATTGCTTGCCGCAGGCTATCTCAATCGACCTGATCCTCATATTGCTGAGACTACCTTGCCCAGCTGTGACAATCCGCTGAATGCACCGTATCGTGGGGCAAAGTGTCGCAGCACACCACCGACAGCGCACTGGCCATCAACGGCTTAGCGAGGCATGTTGTTCCATGTCAGGCACTGAACCCCAACCCATTCGAGGTAGCCAGCCATAGGATCGTGCCATGTACCTTGCTCTGCACAAGCACACGACGCTCCAAGCAACAAACGAACCAGCGCGCGCTCCCCCCGGCACCAATGCACCGACACACTCCCTGAAGAACAGAACACACACTCTCTCCATCACGGCGCGGTCATTCTGCGACTCCCCCATCGCTGAGCGATTCCCCGACCATGGACGCCCCCCGTGCCTAAGCTCTCGGAGCTTCTGCGCCACCCGGACGACCTCGACAAGATCATCGGCCTCAAGCAGGAGTTTGGCCGCAAGAAGAGCGCGGTCGACGGGCAGCTCCGCAGCGGCCTGCGCGAGCAGCTCGAGACAACCCAGTCGGGCATGACGGGCCTCGCCGACGGCCAGAAAGCGGTGCAACAGATCAAGGAGGAGATGATGAAAATCGACCGCCTCTGCTCCGAGTCGCAGAACATGATCAAGGACTTTACGAGCATCAACATTGTCTCCCAGGCCCATCGCAACTTTGGCGCCGTGGGGCCATGCGCAAGAACCTCGAGACCTTCAACGAGCGTCTGGCCATGGTCGAGGGCATGCTGCAGCAGGACGAGGCGGACAAGGAGAGCATGCCGAACCTCCTGCCGATACACTACGAGCTCACGCAGCTAAGGAATATTCGGGACGACGCAATGGAACAGATACAGAGGGCCGAGGATCCGAGCCTCGAGTCGACGCTCGAAGACTACTTTCAGAGGCTCGACCTCATGATCGACTGGTTCGATGACCACATTGGCCTGCTGGCGCTGAACCTTATCAGCCTTGTCGTCAATGACAACAACGGTCTTGTCGTGCGCTTTGCCGTCGTCATCGAGGCGGAAGAGAAGAGCGACCAGCGCGTGCTAGCCCTGCAGGAGGCCCTGAAAGACCACAAGGAGATGGCGACGAGGTTCCAGAGCATCACGGACGGAGCCAAGAAGGTCCGCGGTTATAAGGACAAGTTTCTACAGGCGATCAAGATCAATGCCGAGGGGCAGTTTGGCGAGGCCCGAGGCGAGTTCCTGGACGACCCGTCGCAGCTGTCACAGGCGCTGCAGTGGTACTTCAATGACCTCAACGCTGTCAAGATTGGCATGACGCCTCTGATGCCAAAGAAGTGGAAGATTCTCAAGATCTATGGACAGATTTACCACGAGCTGATGCGCGACTTCCTCGTCGGCATGATCGATGACCCTGAATCGAGCTCGGGCAACACACTCGAGATCATCAACTACCCCGAGAAGTACTACAAGAGGATGACCAAGCTGGGTTTCCGCCAGGACGAGCTGATGCCGCATGTCATTGATAATCGGGAGGGCGAGCTCGTGCGGGAGTTCCGACAGCTCATCATCAAGTTCCTGGACGAGTGGCTCGATCGCATCTTTGCCCAGGAGAAGAAGGACTTTGCCGAGCGAGTTGTCGAGGGATCCAACCTGGATCAGGACGAGTACGGCTACTTCCGAACCAAGAACCTTGTCGACATGTGGCGCATGCTGCGCGAGCAGGTGGATGCAGCAGCCAACTCGAAGCGTACCGACGTGATCGAGGGCGTCATCGATGCCATGTTTCTGCGACTGCGCGTGCGGCAACAGACGTGGCAAAAGCTGCTCGAGGACGAGGCACTCAAGTACGAGTCGGGAAAAGACCCGGAGCTCGAGGGATTTCAAGCGCTGCAGGACTGGCTCGTGGGCACGGCCAACGACCAGATCGCCTGCATCGACGACAGCGAGGAGGAGAACAAGATGGCATACCTATCCAACTTCCGACAAAAGTTCGAGACGGTCGTGTCACCTGCGTATATGGAGCGGGCGAACGGCGAAATCCTTGCGCTGCGGGACGGCTATGTCGACTTTAGCACGTGGTGCATCACCAAGTTTGTGCAGCTCATCTTCGTCATTGACTTCAAGTTGGTGATGCCCGACTTCTTCACACCAAAGTGGTATGGTAGCTCGGCGATGAAGCAGATGGTGGTTACGTTCGAGGAGTACGTAGGAGACTACCGACAGGTGCTTCACCACTCGCTCGTGGACATCTTCACCGAGGTGTTCGCCGACGAGCTCCTGATCCGCTACCTCACATCAGTGCGGAACAAGGGGGCCAAATTCAAGCGCACCGAGCCATTCCAGGACAAGCTGTTCGACGATATTTCGACGGCATTCAACTTCTTCGACAGCCTACCCAACCAGGACGTGGCCAACGCCGTCAAGCAAACTTGGAGGGTGACAGAGCCCTTCCTGCAGCTCCTCACGGTTGCCAAGGACGCTGTGCCGGATGCATTCGAGTCGTTCAAGCGCGAGTACTGGGATCTGCAAATCAGCTGGGTCGAATCAGTGGTAAGGGCGCGCGATGACTTTGACAGGTCCATGTTGAACGCCGTCAAGGCAAGGGCGGCACAGGTGGACGTGGAGCGCACGGGCGAGACTATCATGAGCAGGGTTAAGTGATCGGGCGATTCTCGTTCCTAGGAAAAACATCATCATCTCCAGCGCCACAATTCCAGAATTCGCTTCGGGTAGCGAGGGACCGGAGGAAAACTGTCTACCTACCCGGGTCCAGACCGCCAGAAACTTGATCGGCCGACAGATGGAGGGTCAGCTCTAAAGTTCACTTCGGATCGACGGACGTCCCCTTCACTCTACAGGACTTTATACGAACCCTCATCCGCAGACAATCGCCCGTGCCGGTGTCACTTCTTTACTGCGCAGGCGGCATGGTGTCAATCAAGCGGAGATGTGGTGCAGTCGACAGGCACAGCAGACACAGTTTTTCAACGTCCACAGCTCTTCTGTTGGGCTCAACGCCTTGATACTTACCCAGTATGAAACCCGCGGCGTTTGGCAACATGCTCTGGATCTCTCTGGGATCTCATCGAGCGGCATGTACCTATTTGAGATGAAAAAGGCAGCAAACCCAAGGCAGCAGGTGGTCGGCTCGTTGGGCTCATTGTGCCCCCTTATTTAAACCTCTGCTGGAGGAAACGTTCGCACTAAGAGCGGATCACTGCTGTCAACAACGTGGGGCTGGCAGGACGGCACAATAGCAGGCACTGAGGGCTTGGGCTTCATGGCTGGGTTTGGTGGCCCGGATGGAACACGATCCACCGAAGGTGATGAATGTAGAGTCGTCAATCACTCCAAGTCGCCTTCATGGCACGGACAAGATAAAATCTACCACGCGAAACTTATTCTCGCGCCGTATTAGAGAGCCTCACCAAGTCTGTTCCTCCTGATTCTTGTTGCTGATTGGCGCGAAACTCTGACGACGGTTCCAGGATAGCGAATAAAAAGGTATTAAAGGAGTAAAGCCCCACGTCTCTATTACGTAGAAAACACATGTCGCCGGTTGCTATTGCGATGCAGACGTTGTCGGAGGAAGCGAAGGCACGCAGCCGAGCCTAAAGAGTGCTCGCGGGGAATTTGCCCTGCTGAGCATACCGAGGTATCAGAGTCTCATATTCAACGGATGCAGGGACGAGCCATCGTGCAAGGATGTCCAAATCTCTAAGTGGTCATTTTGTCACAGAAGCAAGAACGTCTCTCATATTTGCCTCCTGGCCCACGCCAGAGGGCGTGAGGCAACACTGTGAGGTAGCTTGGGGCGGGTCAGACGGGTTTCCCGACATGGACTGGGCCCTTTGGAGGGACCTGTGGAGACATGGATGGGTCATCCTGGGATCGGGCGGTTGTGTTGTGCGGGTGCGTTTACCAAGACTCTAAAGGCGGAGATTTAGCCAACGGAACGCACATCCCAAGGCCGTGTGTGCCGCGGCTGGATTTGACCGAGTCATGAATCGTCATGAGGTGGTCGGATCGGTACTATCTTGGGCGCGAAATTATCTGGATGTGATGGAAAGAAGAGTCTGAGTGTGGTCGGACAAATCAATATGCTAGATATCCTCACTCCGATGGAGAAAGAACGACAGTGTTCTTCGCGGTCCTCAATGGAAAACAACAGTGGTCTCGAAAGAGACCCATCTGACCCCATCCCAGCAGTGACTGAGCTGCATGACCAAGGATCGAATACCTTGAGCCTGGGCGACCTCAGCGACCTATCCAGTTTCTGTGTAGACCTCTTGCTTTCTGCTATTTATTTCCACTTTGACGCCTCACGCCGAGATGGACGTCACAAGCGCCTGACGACTGTTACGTAAGGTGGAGTGTGGGAGAAGCTCGGCGCCCGTCACGATAGCCCACGGCACCACTTCCTAGGCCGAAGACGCGGCTCCAGCGCGCGGTGACGGCCGCCAAGGTGGGCCAAGTGCCGCGGCGGATACAGGCACTGGCGTGTCCGTTGCAAGGAGATAGGCACGGAACGAGACGGGTCGGTGGGGTGTGGGCAGAGAGCCCCCCCCCGTGGTGTTGTACCGTCCAAGACGACGTCGCCCAAGACAATCTCATGTCGTCAGATTGTGGGTTCTGCCGAGCCGCCCAGCGCAGATTCTGCTCGCGAAACCTACAGCCAACGACACACGCTGAGCCAAAGCAGGTGATTGATCTCGTGCGTCTTCCAAGCACCGCTAAGCAGTGGGGGAGGGAAAGTACGCGGCTTGGGACCAGAGGGCTGTCAGCCGCGTGGAAGATCCGGAGCGAAACCTGGCCCCGCCGGTTTGCGCCAGTTGCTCAGCACTGGAAGTGCACATCGTACTAACAACGTGAGTCTCGCCTTTGTCAAGGGGCTTTCGTGGACTCCGGTTTGCTGGATCAAGGATCGTACATTGGTCGGTCGGTCGGTCGTCTGCGGGTTGTGTGCCATGTGCTGATGATCTTGTCTTCTCTTGCTCCTCCACGCACCTAGGTACTCAGGTCGTGGTTGTGGAGTGGCCAGGCCCCTGGCGCCTCCATCGTCTCTTCCTTGCCCGCCAACCCTTTCGGCCACTTGGGGCGTCTTTGAGGAAGTCCTTGCCTTCCAAGGATCCTTCGGAGGGCGCCACTGCAAAGCAAACAGAACACGGGAGGGGGAGGGGGAGGAAGGGCTAAGAAGTCAAGAAAGCCTTGTCCATCTTGCCTTCCCCCAAGCCGACTGGCCCATAAATAACCGTGGTTCATACCTGTGCCTGTCTATTTTAGCTTTCCCCTTGATGTTTCCCCTTCTTCGTCCCAGGTGCCTACCTCTCTTGGGTATTTACTCATCCTATCGCCTCGACATCAATCCTCGAGGCTGCCGTCGTCATCGTGCTTTCCCGCAAGCCTTGCTGTACTCACTTGTCGACAGAACCTCCGGTCCGTAACGACGCCTGGCCGCAGCCATCACCCAGACCTCGACCATCAACATGAAGGGTGTATTGCAAAAGATATTAGACAAAGTCGCTCCGCCGGCCGACAAGTCGGCTGACGGCCGTGATGCGTGGGGCAGCCGCCGCTCCTTCATCCTTGCCGCCATGGGCGGCGCCGTTGGCTTCGGTTCCCTGCTGAGATATCCCTCCATTGTCTACAATAACAACGGTCTCCAATTCTTCATTCCCTACCTCCTATCCCTCATAACTCTCGCCATCCCCACCCTCATGCTGGAGATCGCCATCGGCCAGGCCTACCGCGCCGGTTGCGTCGTTGCCTGGCATACAGCCAACAAGCACGCCAAGGGTATTGGGCTCGGTGTCATCTACAACGGCTACGCTGTCACCATCTACTTTGTTCCCATGATCGCCTGGATCATGAAGTTCTTCCGTCACTCTTTCACGAGCCCCCTCCCCTGGATGGGCCGCAGTGCCGAGTTCTACGAAGAAACCATCTTAGGAAAGGTTGCCGCCAACCCTGGCAGCATCGCCGACGACGGCAGCATCGCCCGATATACCTCGTACCCCGGCACGGCCATGATCGGCGAGACCGTGGGCTGGACCATATTCACCTGGTTTGTCATGTGGATGTGCATCTTTCGCGGCGTGGGGTTGACCGGCCGCGTCATCTACTTCACCATGGGCATTCCCTTGCTTCTTATCGTCATCCTGATCGGCCGGAGCGCTGCCCTACCCAACGCTATTGATGGCGTCCGCCTCTACATGGCTGTCTGGGACTCCTCGAAGCTTGCCAGCCCGACTCTGTGGCAGGAGGCTTGCGGGCAAATCTTCTTCTCCGCCGGCATTGGCATGGGTTATTACACCAGTTATGCCTCCTACAACGCCAAGTACTCCAACGCGGTCCAGGACGCCGTAATTATTGGCACATGCAACATGTTCATCGAAGTCGTTGCTGCTTTTGCCGTCTTCAGTGTTGTGGGATACCTCGGTATGGACCCCGCCGACGGCGAGCCCCTCGACAGTTTCACCGCAGCGTTCTTAACCTATCCCGAGGCGCTCGCCCAGATGCCTGGCGCCAACTTCTTCGCTGTCATCTTCTTTGCCACCCTGTTCCTCCTCGGTATGAGCTCGGCCTTTGCCATGCTGGAGGCTTTGCTCACCGGCATCATGGACACCGACTGGGGACGCAGGTGGCCTCGTCCCGCTGTTGTATCTGTTGTCATCTTCGTGTCCATGCTCATCTCTCTGCCCTTCACCACTGAGTTTGGCTATGATCTCCTTGCAGCTGCCGACACTTGGGTGAACTACCTCGCGCTCTTCTTCATAGTCTGGGCCGAAGCCACCTGTGCCACCACTCTGTACCGCTACAAGGACGTTGTCGACCAGTGCGGTCTGCCGTCGTTCGTCTTGTACAATATTGGTTACATCGGCGGGCAGATCTTCGGTTTTGCTGTCGGCCACGCCGTGTCGCCTGAGGCCGGAGCCGGCGTTGGGTTTGGCATCTTCTTCCTTTGCCTTGCCTTTTCGCTCTTCGTCGGCAGAAGTCCTGAGGCCGAGACTCCCAGCTTCTGGGGAACTAGCGGAAACATTGTTCGCAAGTTCTGGTGGCTGGCTTTCTACTCGGTATGTCATAATGCACCGAGCGGCTACCTACCTTCGTGCTCCTGACCTCTCGAAATCAACTGACTGACTTGAAATGCCCAGGGTAACCAAATCCGTCGCGATCTAAACTCGATCATCGGAACCGGGAAGAACTGGACTTTGCCGTACATTTTCGGCCCTGTCCTACGATACATCACCGCCCCCATCATTGGCATGCTGTTCTCCATGGCATATCCCCTATTCTACGAGAACCGCATGAATCCTCTCCACATTGCCGGGTTTGGTTTCATGCATCTGGTCATTGTGTTTTCCATCTTTGGGCTTTTCCTACCCCGATGGTTTAATGTCTTTGTCCCGCGCAACCGCCTCAACGATGGCACATATCCCGTAACGCCTGGTGTTATTCTGAAGCGCGCCAACGCCGACAACGACTACGCAGATGGCGTGTCTGATGAGGAAACTGGCGGCACAACTACCTATGGGAGAAGCTCTGATGAGACACTGCAAGGTAAGAAGAGCAGCACGCTTGACGACGTGCCCAAGGACACCGTGTCCAGCGAGAATTGCTCAAAGGAAGAAGTCCCCAGGTGAGCAAGTGATTTGATCTAGACGCCCCAGAAAGAGTCGTCTACTTGTGCTCGCCGCTGGTGAAGGTATGCTGCAGTGTGTATGGACGCGGCCTCGGGCCTTCGCATCGGCGCAGGTGTGGTGATATCCGGCACAAGGCCGTTGAGAGACATGCGTGACACCAGTGGCCAGCAACCCACTTCCCTCTCTTTGACCGGAGCCCGGACATCCCGACAAATGTCGCGGGAGCGGCGTGACAACCGAGCCGCAACAAAAATACTACCTGATATGCCCGGACAATATGCTCGAGAAACACGACCATCAACGAGACGCCCGGATCACCCCTCCGCCCGGACGGTACATCTGTATCAGCCCGGCTTCTCTATACTTCGACTCCGCCAGCCCGGACCCGAGCCCGGACCCGAGTTTGGGATGGATCAATCATCCAGCTTAACAACAACGCATTTGCCAAAGTCTGGATGGAATTCTCTTGCCCTATGTTCATACATAATTGTCGGCCTCCTGATCATCTGGAGAAGCCAGCATCGGCCACTGATTAGGCAGTGGCGGTTCGCAGCATACAGTTTGATATTGAGATATACCCTTTACAATTGATACATTTTACTTCCACGCATGACGTCGAGCTATCTACAATTTTTTTCTTCGAAAGATACCCACGCGTATTGATCCAAGTGCTGAAAAGGGTTTGAACAAGATGTATCATGTCCTATCCCAGTGGGTCCGTTATGATGTCGACTGTATATGTCAATGGGAAAAGCGTTTCGATGGACAGCTTCACGAATATACACCTTTCCCCAGAAAGTAGCGAGTCGAGTTTACGATTGCGCAATCGGCATGTTTGAGAGTGGCAATCTATCACATCGACAACAAAATGCGTGTAATATGACCTGTTTTGCAACTCTTTCGAGCTACCTTTCCACGTTGTTCCCTTCAACCCTGAAACGAGAGTCGTCCCCTGCAGCGCTAGCTCTTCCCGTGGTAGGAGGCAATGACCTTGCATGATCGAGCAAGCATACGGGTTCTGAGAACCGCTGATAAACACCTTGTGCGCCGTGAAGCGTACTGTCGGTCCAAAAGCAACCGAATTCCTTGGTAGAAAATCCCACATCGCAACCGTGTACATGGCTACTCGCAGGTAGCCGTCATTCCTGACAGTCTGTTTCCGTATCAGACTGTTAATAGTCCTTGAACACAGAGATCAACTCATCCAACCGCATGACTTGGCCAAGAAGCTTGCTTTGGAGATCAAGAAATTGGCTGTACTTGTTGTAGTGCTCGGCCGTCATGACCTCCTCCTCCTTTCCCTTGACGTCTTTCCTGTCCACAAAAGACAGGATGTTTCGCTCACGGTGTCTCTGGACATCCAGAGTCTGTAAGCATCGCAGCATCGTTTTATAAACATCATCCATGAGCTGGTTATCGACGCGTGTCGCGTCGAAGAACCAGAAGAACATGGTTCTGTTTGCCGTGCGGCTATTGTCGCGCGGGACCTCTTGGACGTCAACGAATCCGGCCATCTGCAGCGCAAGCATCTTGCCCTGCACGTCTGATTTCTTCATCAGTGCGAGGCCCGGCAGCGTCTTCTCGTCCAGCTTGCCCTTGGCACGGAGGATGCGAGTTAGTCGAAGGCCGTGCCGTCCAAAGGTCTGCTCGATGACGGCATCAACTTCGACCTGTCGCAGGGACTCCATCAGCGGTTTGAAGTCGACGGTAAACTGACCACGGCCTTGTGTGCCGCAGTGCCGCACAAATCCCTGGGGACTTTCAGCTAATAGGAGGAGGTGTTGTCGCATCTCATCCAGCCGTGAATGCTTCGGCAGCGTTTCGTCTTCAAACATGACCCTTCCGCCCCTTGTGCCGGACCCGTTTTGTCTTCGTCTGGGGGGCCCGTCTTCGTCGTCGTCGGAATCGCCATTGTCATCGCTGTCGTCGTCGCGACCGTCCCCTCCGAGTGTGGCTCCGTCATCCGAGTCCTCCGATTCCTCTACCAGATGCTTCGGGATTGACCTGACTTTTTCGGCATTGCGCTGATTGATTTTCTTGCGTGCTGCTTTACCAACCCCCGCCGCGACACATATGGATGGATCCAGAGCATCTAAAATCTGTAAGGCTGTCATGGCCACCTGTGGACTGGCTCTGCGACGACTGTTGTCATCGTCAATATCACCAACCTCGCCCGGCTCCAGATCAAATCTCGGGTCCATGCGACACCGCGCAATCTTATCTGACAAGAGACGAAGCAGCGTGTGGTAAACTTGTCCCGTGACCTCCCCAATATGATCGGAGGCGTATTGCGCGAGGGTCTGATTTCGAAGATCGACCAGACACTTCTCAAAGTTGACTTTGAGAACCAGATCGGGCTAAAACAGTGTTAGAGAGTGCCAGAGAGTCAACTGAGAGGGACGAAAGCGACTGACCCCTAGTCCCTGGTCATGTCCATTGGCGACGGAACCGTTGGAATGGACACCATTGGTGAGCTTTCGTCGCTTGGCAATGAACGGCATGGTTTGCATTAGCTGACGTTTCAGCTTCTTGCTCTCTTCTCGAGCAGCAACACAGCGTGAGACGATTGTCTCTTGTTGCGCTTCCTTGTGCTTGGCTGTCAGCTTCTCGCCAGGTTCTCCTCTCAAAGCATCTTCTTCAATTTCACGGTACACGTCCTCGATGTTTCGAAATGTCTTGGGGCCAACCTGGTCGATGAGCTCCGCAATGATCAGGCGACCAAGTGTTGTGTGCAAGTCCTGGAGTGTTTGTACGTGTGCGGAACCTGTTACCCCTGCGCGCCGCCTGCCGTCTGAGGAATGACCCCCATTGTTGCCGTTCTGGTCTGGATGGAAGCCGAATGCCTGTACGAGGTCTGACACCCTGGCGTGGCCCAATTGCATGATCGTTTGGAACACTTCTTGCTCGGCCAGACCGTATTCTGTCCCCACCATATCTATAATCTTGCCAGAACGGATGAGGTTGTAGCATGCATCGGGGTTGGCTTCGTAGCTGGTGACACTTGATCCGGCAATCGCGTGGTAGTAGAGAAGGTTTTGTTGCACAAGGACGGCAAGGCCGTGTCGCATTTGCCTCGGTGGCAGGGACGTGTGTCGGACAAGTTGTGGAATGGTTGATCTGCCTTTGCTGAGGAGGACAGCAATGATTCTCTGTGGACGAGATCAGACCGGTCAGCCAACATGTCATTGAGAAGCTCGATGAAGCGGCGGGACGTCTCAAATCATGAATTGAGGAGCGGATGTTAAGCTTACAGCTGGCAATTCGCCAAACAGATCGTTGACGACGTGAGCGCAAAGCTCAGCTGCATGTTTGGACTGAGAGTAGAGCAGTTAGTTTGGGGTGTAAAGGTATTGGGAGACAGCTTGGGTCATGCGACATACTATGAGCATAGACATCTTGGGCAACAGGTGTGTAATCGATTGAGCAAATCGTATTGCCTCTAGAGATTCTCTCACTATCTCTAGAGCTATCACAGAGACTACCACACGAGCATTGGGCTCCGTTCACTCAGTGCCAAGGGGTGGTCGTTGGCGGAGCCAGGTTATGATGCGCAAGGCAGAGAAAGGTAAGATAGGTGTGAGTCCTTCAATCAGCCATCGGTTTTTTTTCCTTACCTGCGACAAGACACAGGCAGTGGCGGGGCACACGTCGATGCCGGTCAGTGCTTGAGTAGGAAGAAGTGGATCAGCTTTATCTTATCAGGTATCCCAAAGAACAATGACTACCTAGAAATGCATGAGTTATGCAGAAAGAGAATTTAAGGCCCAATACAGTCCAATTCGGCTTTGACCTCGCATTATGGCCTGAGGCGCAAGATGCACGTGACATGCTCGGTCCAAGCTAATGGACCCATTCTGATTGGACATTGACAAGTCGTTCCATCGAAAATTGGTCGGGACGTCGTCGTAGTCGTCCATGAGGCACATTCTTCGGACCTAGCTATCACGACACAGGCGTAACGAACCAACATCGCACATCTCGAGCAGCTGCTCTCAGAATGATCTCCAGAACGTCTTTCGCGCGATCGGCGCAGCAGGTGGCTCGCCAGTCGGCCGCCGCCCGACCTTCCCAGTGCCGAGGTCTTGCCAGCGCTGCCTCCTCCGGCATCTACGAGCCCTCCGAAGCCAGCGGCGTCAAGGTCGCTGCTCGCGACTCCCACGGTCCTACAGCCAAGCTCGCCGTCGTGGCCAAGGCCGGTACTCGCTACCAGCCTCTGCCTGGTCTGGCTGCTGCTCTGGAGTCGTTCGCCTTCAAGGTCAGCCCACTCCTCCCTTCTGCATCCACTCGCAATCCATTCGCAATGACAAAGACTGACCTCGGGCTCTTGAATCTTTCCAGAACACCCAGAAGCGGTCCGCTCTCCGAATCACTCGCGAGTCAGAGCTGCTCGGTGGCCAATTGGCTGCGTACCACACCCGGGAAGCTCTCGTTCTCGAGGCAAGCTTCCTCCGCGACGACCTCCCCTACTACGTCGAGCTGCTCGGCGAGGTTGTCTCTCAGACCAAGTACACCAGTAAGTCGGCCCATCGTAAAATGCCCAGCTCTTGCATTAAACCTTGCTACCAGCGCACGAATTCCACGAGGAGGTCCAGGAGACCGTCCGCCAGAAGCAGCAGGCCGCCAGCGCCAACCCTGCTGGGCTCGCCCTCGATGCCGCTCATGCCGTTGCCTTCCACCGCGGCCTGGGATCGCCTTTCAACCTGACCACCAGCGCCCCTACCAAGCCTTATCTCAGCGAGTTCGCCATTGCCGACTTTGCCGACGCTGCCTACGCCAAGTCCAACATCGCTGTTGTCGCTGATGGCGCCTCGACCGCCGAGCTGGCCAAGTGGACTGAGCAGTTCTTCAAGTCTGCCCCTACTGCGTCCTCCGGCAAGCTGGCTCTGAACACAACTGCCACCAAGTACCACGGCGGCGAGTCGCGTGCATCGCACACCGCAGGCAATGCCATGGTTATCGCATTCCCCGGCTCCAACTACGGATCCAAGTCTCCCGAACTG